CGGTACTGCTGTTTCAAAACTGATCAGGAGCTTCAGAACAAAGCATTTCTCTGGTGACACTTCTGCGCTGCAAACACACAGGCAGCAAGGGCTTCAGTCCAAAGCAAGAAAAATAAAGTTCCCTTTCTCCATATGAGCGTGAATCATTGCCTAAGCCTTCCAGCTCAACTGATGAGCAAGAGGCAAGAGATTTACAAATATGAGAAACTGCCACAGCTATGGACCCAAGAGCAACCCTCACTTCTTATGGGACCAAGCAGCTAAAGGACTTGCATTTTTAAATCAATATTTGAATTCAGAATCCATATGATCCATTCACTCCAAGTTTGCGTAACATGCAGAGCAATGATGCCCTGGGTTCAACAAGTGCAAACAACAACTAACAGAAATCTAAGAGAATTAAAAAGGGTGGGGCTGATATTCAGCATTGATTTTGCATAGTATTGCCACAGTCCTGTAGTGCCGCCATTGGAAACCATCTCTCAAATATAATGCAATTCCAGTGTTTGAGCACTAGAGGGTCAATTCGTGATGAAAACAGAGCTCTACCTCAGTTTCCTTGTTTTTATAGGTAAGCGTTTGACCTCCTACTTACCCCCTCTTCAACTGTCATGAGTTTTGCTAGCTGAAGCTCTTTTCTGAGGCCATGCAGCACCGGGATGGAGGAGTTACGTCACACAAACGCAAACTTTTTGCAAGAGTGCCCTCAATAATTTTGAACTACGCATGTCACACCAGACCCATGGTGCCTTTCTCTGGTCAGCTGCAAGGCGCACACCTTTTCAAAAGGATCACCGTGTTGGTTTGGAAGTTGTCTCTTGTGACTGGAAGTGGCAAAAGACTGATGAGGTATTAGCCCATAGCCCATTTTGAAAAATACTCAACCTGTACGTCTACAGCAGCCTCTTCTCATGCCTAATTATCATCCCTCTGAATAATACAAAAAATGCAAATATTGTCCATTTAAATGAAAGGGATCCTCAGCACCACCTGTAATTGTACTCGTGCCCAACAACAAGCACTGGGATGGCAGCAGACGGGTGGGCATCATCCAGAGGGCAGAATTCAGGCCCGCTAGATTGCAGCCTTGCCACTCAATTAAAAAACCCCCAACACTTCTGAAAGTATACGCATATACCAGAAATTTGGGGCATTACTATATGAACAAACCAGAAATCCTTCTCCTTCTCAATAGGATTTGTTATGGAAACAGCATATAATTTCATTCCAATACCACAAATTTGCCACTACATTAAAGAGCATTAGTGTTACTGAAGGATGAACGGTAAATCAGCATCCCCAGCTCTCCAGGCTACAGCCTTCTTCAGGGGAATGGTGATTCTGAGTGCCCCTTCATTTCAGGCTATAAATATATGTCATGAGAGAAAGCAAAGCTGTTGACTAAGGGATGCCTTAACAAGTACTTCTAGCCCAACAAACTTTGTTATACCACAGTTTTGTCTTATATTATCCTTCTTGTCAGGGACAAGAGAACTGGGCAACACTGCTTCTTTGTACAGAGGGATACTTTCTCTGGTAAACATGGTACACCATTTATACAGACTGTGTTGTAAAAAATTCTATCTAAATTCCCTGGAGCAATGGATAGATTTAACAGTGAGGTAAAACATTAGTGATGACTGCAATATACCCATGCGAAAGACACCTTTGTATCATATTAATAGAGAGTCTCAAATGCCTTAATGTGTTGAGAAATGAGAGTATAAAAAGGTAGGCGAGTCATAGACAGCACCATAGCATTCAGTCAGGACTGTGACCTCTGCAAATTACTGCCCTGTGAAAGTTCACAAAAATTAGCAAACGAAAAAACAGGGGGTTGCTCTTTTAAATGATTTTTAAATGATCATATTGTGCTCTCTAGTATATTTATTAAAATAACCAGGATTGAACATGGAGCTTCAGCTTTGCAATCTATGAAAAAAATCCCAAAGAACTGAAGGGGATCCATATCTGCTGCAAATCATGAACTGCAAATATTAACATTTTACTTCATGTAGAAATGACAATTCCATTACTCATCTTTGAAAAGTATTTTTAAAAAACTGGTCCTCCCATCCCTACCATAAATACAAGGTCTCTATTACAAATAAATGTGTTCTCCCATGCATAAATAAAGCACATACATTCAGCTGCAAGAAAACAGATCAGTCAAAACGGCTCAAATGTAAATTATACACTGACCAAAAAGAATTCCACTGCAACTGAAATTGAATTGCTTGTACTTCAGGTCATTAGCTGAGTGCTGACCAGTACAAATTTAAATGCTAAAATATCCCCCCCGCCAAAAAAAAACGGGGGGGGGAAGACTTGAGAAAAACGTGCAAAATATTTGAGAAAGCAGGAACTACGTTTATGTAGAACAAATTTAAAAATAACAAAAAAACCCTGCCCTCTTGTCTCACCTCATTAGAGAAATTTTGATAAGCCTCCCTTACTTCTCTATGGCTGTTTATGCATCACGATTTGAAAAAAGGAGCCAAAAATCATTTACATCTTCCTCCAGATCTACAGAATGAAATGCTCTACTAGCTTATAACACTGGAAATCAGAAATCGTCTCATAATTAGCCAGTCTTTCCTAACAAACCCATGCTTACAGAATGGTACTTTGAACAATGAATTAGGAAAAAAAAAAAGAAAAAAAGGATGTGTTGTGTTGAAAGGTTTAAGAATGCGCGTACTTTCCATAAAGCTGAAATGCTTCCATGAACATATCGTTTAACTCTGGATTTATCAAACATTCCAAATTCAGGAAAACAGAACTGTTTTAGTCATTAAAATATTCTGACAAGATTGCAACATAGTCTGAGTGTCATTTTGAGCAGTGAGAAAATCTTTTTTTTTTTTAATTTAATAGGAAAGGGAGAAGAAAGGCTAAGTTGAGAGAATCCTTTTCTTTTACCAAAAAAAAAAAAAAAAGAAAAAGAACTGGTGAGCTTCTTTCTTCTCCTGCCATATAGCAGATCTCTTCTTGGATTTCACACCACTAACCATACCCTGTCAGAGATCTTGAACAGTTTACATTACTTCTTTTGAAGGATTAATCTAGACCAGCCCAGAGATAAAAAACAAAATGCACAATGAATTCCTACACTGAATTCCAGCTTGTTACTGTGAACTCAACATAAGAAAAGAAAAAAGGAATCCCACACATCTTGTAGTATATACACTGCTTTCACACAGTATTTGAGTTAGTCAGAGGAATACGTAAAGGGACAAGATAGTTTTGTACAAAACCTCGATTTATTTCAGAGAAATTAAAAATATGGTATTTAATATATATAAATTTCTATTCCTCTATAAATATAGATGATCTTGTGATAATGAACAGAAATAAATGCATACCAAATTCAAATAATTTTGCATTTCAGGGTATGGTAGCCATAGATAATGTTTATGAACCTAAATACAGGCATTTGTAATATAAAAAAAGTTTAAAACAATACAATCTGGAGAGAAGCATTCTGCTGTTTTTCGTACAGAGGGCTAAATATTCAAATGCATCTGTTGAAAGTTACAATTTCATTTTTAACCTTTTTTTTTATTATTAAGAAGCACAATCCCACACACCCAGGAGCATACAAGGCGGTAGATATACTGCACGCACGTATCTTATCTTTGCAGTATGCAACGTTACTACTGTACCAAAAAAAA